CAGTCCCGCCAGCCTAAAGAAGCAAGTGGTCTGCGTCACAGCCGTGTGCTTTCCATGCAGATATGGCTGACGTCCGTTCCTCTTGTACACCCTTCCAACCAAATTGCCACTCTTGCACTTTTCCTGTATGGACATTTTGGAGCCGGCTTTGCCCCTTACTGTCCTTTGAGCACACCAAATGTAGAGCTTTCTCCCTCAATCCAAGCTTTCTCCCTCTCTTCATTTGGAATACGCCTTGATTTCTTGATCTGTATTCTTATTAATCACATGAGGGTCTAGTATGGAAAGAACTTTAGCTGTGGACTCAGAAGAGATAGAGGACGTTTGAACTTTGCTCCCTCCCCCCTTGGTTCCTGGAATTATTATTAAGAGAAATAGTTGAGTGGTGAAACATGTGCATTTCTTATTTGTTTATGTTTTCCCATTCCTTCCAAGTTACTTTGCATCAGGATCCATCTGTTAGGCAAGACCTTGGATCTCGGACCAGTCACAGCCCTAGGTGAACGAGGTGGGGAAGATGGAGAACATGTGTTTGCCTCTAGCTGGGAAGATTCCTGAGGTTTAGTGTAGGGCCCTCGCTGTCTTGCCAAGTCCCGACTCGTCACTCCTTATGGAAAGAGGCCAATGATCCAAAACTGGCTAGAGCTGGCAGGGGCAAGATGAGAGAGGAGAACCCTCCAGACAAAAGGCAGAGATGGCAGCCGACTGTTTCTCAGGAGAGGGTTTCCTTCCCTCTCTTCAGCCTCAAGAAAATAGGGGCGCCTGGGCAGTTCAGTTTGGTTGAGTGTCCGACTTCAGCTTAGGTCATGATCTCACAGTTTGTGGGTTCAAGCCCTGTGTCGGGCTCTGTGCTGACAGCTCAGAGCCTGGAACCTGCTTTGGATTCTGTGTGTGTGTCTCTCTCTCTCTCTCTCTCTCTCTGCCCCTCCCCTGCTTGTGCTCTGTCTCTCTCTATCTCAAAAATAAATAAATGCTAAAAAATTAAAAAAAAAAAGAAAATAGTACAAGTGAGTCAGCCACTGGGTTGGGGAGCAGGGGACCATGCAGGCATGGTGGGTGGGGGGGGGAGGGACTTGGGAGTTTGGGAGAGCTAAAGAAGTCTTAGACAGCATTCCAGTTCTGCGTTGATTTGGGAAGTTGCCAGAACTCCACGGTACGGGAGAGACCGGAGAGAGAATAAAATGTCTTGCTATTTGGTAGGCGAAGGGGCTCTTTATTTTTTACATTACTCCAGGACCATCAGGCTATAGCTCTAGGTGGTTTTGAGTAGTTCCCACTAATTCTGACCTGTCTTAGGTTGGTATAAATTCAGCCTCCTCCATAAAACTGTTCCTCAGTACCCCAGAGCTCATTATTTCTCACCTCTCCAACTCTTGTGACTTTACCCCTTTTATTTGTAAGTATAGTGTTTGTATGTCCTGCTCTGCCAGAAGTTCCTCTGGCCAACTCCACATGCCTAAAAGCATAAAATTTAAGACTTATATTGAATATTCAAGCATCTGCTGGCTTATGTTGTTGGCTTCACCTTTTCACTGTGTAGATTCTGTCTCGTCAATAGAATACACCATACTTAAGGGCAGAGATGAGGCTTTTAACTCTACGCCTTTTATAAAGTACTTCCTCCCCCCCCCGCCCCCCGTCAAAGTGTTGAACACATAGCCCCGGACTCCATAAATGGGTTTCTGAGTCATTTATTCCACAAACTATTATTTGCATCTCAACTCCGGGTCAGGTTGGCAGTGGGTCTATGGCCATAAATAAGCTAGAGAAGATTCCTGCTCTTGTGGGAGCGATGGATAATGAGGAAATAAACACGAGGGTAGTGTAAATAAAGTTTGTGACTGGTGGTACGAAGGAAACAAAGTGGTTTTTCCAACAGGTGGAGCCTAGTTTCAAGGGTGTGGTTGTGGGGCACCTGGGGGGCTCAGTCAGTTGCGTGTCTGACTTTGGCTCAGGTCACGATCTCGCGGTCCATGGGTTCAAGCCCCGCGACAGGCTCTGTGCTGACAGCTCAGAACCTGGAACCTGCTTTGGATTCTGTGTCTCCCTCTCTCTCTGTTCCTCCCCCCCCCCCCCCCACTCACATGCTGTCTCTCTCTCTCTCTCTCAAAGATTAACAAAATTAAAAAAAATTTTTTTAAAGGGCATTGTGGAAGGCTGTATGTGGAGGTGATAGGGAAGGGCAAAAAAGAACCAGGGATGTAAAAATCCAGGGGAAAGAGATTGTTTTCGAGAACATTATAGATTACAGTGTGCTGACGTCAGGGAGCAGGATGTATGTTGAGGTCTGGGATTTATATAGGCTCTCATCCTGCTGCCTCCAGTGAGGAGCTGGGGTTTTAAGGTAGGTTTAGTGGCAAGTCTTCGAGGAGATTAGAAGCAGAGGAGTGATACTGTGTTTTGTTCTTTCTTTTCGCTTGAAGATCTAATTGGCTGTATTAAATGATTCATGAATCAGGTAGCATCCCATCTACCAAGTAGAGGGGAGCTCCTGAGGAGTGACATCGTATGAAAGAGGGGGGCAAGGATGAATGGGAAGAAGGTGGGGAGGGATGGCCCTAGACCAGGTGAGAGGCAGTGGTGGCTCACTCCCACCTGGTGATAGTGCAGAAGAAGGAAAGCTGATGGATTTGAGAGACACTTTGGAGGTCAACCCAGTAGGGCCTGTGAATATGGGCGATACATAGGGGACACCGTGGAGTCAGAGATGACTTTCACCTTTTGGATGTTGGGGCCACTTACTAAGATAAGGGAAACAAGGAGAGATTTAGGAGAGAAAAAAATCACAGTTTACATTGTGAACATGTTAAGTTTGAGATACACACATATCATCCAAGTAAAGATGCCAAAGAAGCCATGGGCATATGAACGGAAGATTCAGGAAAGGGGATTTGGACAAAAGAAATAACATTTGTGCAGCCAAAACATGGTATCCAAAGCCAGTAGAATGGGCAGAGTCAGGCAAGGGGAGAGAATAAACTGCCATGTGGGTTTGGAGCCCCTTCTGCAAACTGGCCCATGTGATTTGGGGCTCCAGAAGCGGGGTTTATGAGCGTAGAAACTCATATACCGCACAGCAGGGGTATGTGCGGGGCAGCTAAGAGCAAGTTGCTTGGGGAGCGCTGGGGGAATCTGCACCTTGTTCACGTGGGGTAAGTCCTGCAGAATCGTATTTTGGATTCAGCGCTCTGTCTTATAAGGATATTTCCTCCATTAATGTCACTCTTCAAGGACTTCATGCAGACTATGGATTTAAACTGGGTTAAAGTATTATATGGAAAACAACAGAACTCATCAGTGTCATTGTGAAAAAATTTTTTTCGAGAGAAAAGACAGTTGATGATAATTTCCCAACAATATGCAACGATTGTGCCAAACCTGTTTTTCACGTGGTGAGATCATTCCACTGAGTGATGATATTTTGAGGAAAGATAATTGCACTGTGTATATGGGACAGCTCAAAGCAACAACAACAACAATAATAATAAAATAAAATGAAAATTTTAAAGCAAAAAGAATTCAGTCAATCAGCTTGTTTCTCACCCTTTTGTTTTTGATCTCAGCAAGTGGTTGGATGTGTCTTTTTCCTACTTATTCTTAGTTATTTTAGCGCTGTGTAGATCAAGGAGGTGATCTTTAGCTAGAAACAACCTGAGGTTACTTTCCACCGCCTCAAGTGTTTCCTTGTTAATTTTTAGTTGCATCGGTAATTCACGGTCAGATTTTCTTTGTTAAGAATTAAAATATAGTAGATAGGACTGGCTTCTTTTTTTTTGACCCTTGCACTCAATTTAGTACTTGAAACATTGGTGTTGTGTGTGTTCTTGCAAACCTTTCTTCAAGTGCATTTCCATGTATATTCTTTGGAAGGAGACAGGCATGTCTTTTGCAAATCTGTGTTGCTTATTCTCTTAAGCATATGCTTGTCACTGTTTTTTTCTTGCTCAAAAATATGTCTTCTAGATCTTGCTGTATCAGGGTGTACTGCATTGCCTAACGTTTTTTAAATTTTGTTTTAAGTTTATTCATTTTTTTTTTAATTTTTAAAAAAATTTTTTTTTCAACGTTTATTTATTTTTGGGACAGAGAGAGACAGAGCATGAGCAAGGGAGGGGCAGAGAGAGGAGGGCAGGAATGGAGAACCGGGCTCCAGGCTCGAGCCATCAGCCCAGAGCCCGGCAGACTCGAACTCACAGGACCCTTGAGATGGTGACCTGGCGAGAGTCAGGACAACAACCGACTCTTTTCCAGAGCCCTTAAGTTTATTCATTTTTGAGAGAGAGGGAGAGAGACAGAGCATGAGCAAGGGAGGGGCAGAGGGAGAGGGAGAGAGAGAGAGAGAGAGAGAGAGAGAGAGAGGGAGACACAGAATCTGAAGCAGGCTCCAGGCTCTGAGCTGCCAGCACAGAGCCTGATGTGGGGCTCGAACTTACAACCCCAACATCACGACCCGAGCCAAAGTCAGATGCTTAACCAACTGAGCCACCCAGGCACCCCTGCATCGCCTAACTTTTTATTTAGTTGCTTGGTAGAATTCTATAGTGTGGGGGTGTGCTTACTTTGCTGTGTCTGTCTATGGGCAGATCTTTTGATCACTTCTGATTTTTTGCTGATGCCAACAGGCCACCTAGAATATTCTTGATACACTTCTAGTGTGTATCACATGAGGTCTTCCAGGAAGAACTTTCCAGTCAACACTTTTTTCATCTCAGGTGTTCGATTCATGCCCACAGATTCCAAGTTAACAAGCATTGCTAGACTCTTCCTTTGTATCGGGGCTTGGTGTTAGATGTGCTTATATCCATCATCATCTTTAAAACTGCAGGAGCTAGTGAGGTGGGGAATGTTGTCATGGTAATATCAGGGACGAGGGACGAGAGATTCCAAAAGGCTAAATAGTTGTCCCGGGGGGGGGGGGGGGGTGGTGGTGGTGGTAAGTAAGCAGATTGAGCAAATGATTGGGGCATGGCCTGAAACTTTGTTCACTTCATCTCTTACAGCTTTGGCTTCCTCATCTGGAAAGTGGAGCTCCAAATACTACCGTGGTCAGAGGATGTGTGTCTTATGGGTTATTGTACAGAGCTGACGACAGGAATGGGCTCTGAAAGGTAGGAAATGGAATGTGTGAAAGTTTATACTATGATGGCATAAATGAACAAAGTACCCGTCCTCGAGGAGATTAAATTCTGTACTAGCAATGGCTAGGCTGACATTGCCAGGACGGAATGGCCTCTAGATCACCAGGCATCTGACCAAAGGCCAAGATCCTTTGTTGCTTTTAATCTATTCCCCTCTCCCCAGATTACTGCTACTTTAAACACCTTTGGGCCTTTCTATTATTTCAAAGAGATGATCTAAATTAGGAGCATTTGTTTGATTTTGAACCACATCAGAAACTAGGAAATGGATCCCCTTTCCATGGACCTCTGCTATTTTAATCTGGAAAATAAACATGGCTTTAGAATTGGGCTGAGTATCGGAGCCTTCAGGAGTAAGAAGTAGTTTTATGTGCCGTCTAATGTATCACAAACTATGTTAAAGCTTTGCTTAAAGTACCAGAACTCTGCAGGCTACGAGTTCCAAAAGCCTTGCTTGGACTTTCATGAGCACAGAAGGTAATTTATTGGTTTATGAAACACAGAGTTTCAGTATATTCTAGCTTCAGGTATGGTTGGATCCAGAAACTCTGTCATAAGAACCCAATCTTCCTCCTTTCAGGGCCTCGGTCTGGGTTCCTCTGGTTGGCCTCCTTAATCGGGCGTTCGTCTGGTTGACTTCCTTAACTGGGGTTTCCTCTTGTGGTGGTGATGTGGCTGCTGTCTGTTCTGATCTGGTGTACAATTCTTTTAGTAATTTAGACTGAACGTTCCTCTTTTGCTGAAAAGTAAAATTAGGTAACTTAAGTTGGGCCTTATTTGGCTCAATTGGTCTGGATCGGGTGACGTGTGCACCCTTAAACTGACTCATTGTGGCCAAGTTGAGGTCAAATGTCTGTCTTTGAAGCCAGAGATGGGGAGTCAGTCCCCATTCAAATTATTCAGGCTGAGAGAAGAAGAAAAGTGAATTTGGTAAGAGAAAATCGAGGGAAGTAGGAAGGGTGTTGGGTTTGCAAAACTCTCAGATGCCCTCATAGAAATGAGGTATCACATTTAAGTCACACAATAATTCCTAGAGTAGTACTGATCATCTCTTGTTAGATGGAGAGGAGGACGCTTGGACCATTTTATTCTAACTGTTCCTGTTCTAGCGTTCCCATCCCACCCTCCTTCTTAAACCTTCCCCCATGCACAGAGGGCGATCGTACTACCAACAGCTGCTCCAAGACTCATCAAATCACATTAGCATTGCTCGTGCCTGGTTTCTCTGAATGTCACAGCCAGCGGTGGAGCAAAGGCTGGTCAGCTTACAGTCACATTAAGGGAAATCTTTACTAAACCAATCCATGGAGCCTGAAAAACCATTGGTCTTTCCAACTTCCCATCAAGTGGCCTGTGCTCAAGGGTAAACCAAGGGGTTATAAATCACAGGAAAGGTTCCCCTTGACACATTTCCACAGCTGGAAGATGAACAAAGTGTTGTTTACTTTGTTTAACACCACAATTAGTGAAAATCAAAATGTCTCCAGATGCACTCACTGTAGTAAATTATTAGGTAATTAACCTTAATGCTCCCTGCTCTGAATCACCAACTTCCTTTTGCACTGGAGCCCTTGAGAATACTTCTCAGGCATCGTAATATATGACTGCACCACAGCTTAATGTTAAGCACAGCAAAGTTTGAATATAGTGGAAGGGATTTAGGATTGGAGCAAATTCCAAAAGCAGTGGGGGCGGGGGGTGGGTGGGTAGCTTTGTGTACGGTTGGAGGAAAAATACAAACTTGCAACATAAAGACTGAATGGACAAAATACGGAGGAAAGGTGCTCTTTTTAAGTAATCTCAAACTCATCCTTTCTTTCTGCCAGCAAGTTTAAGCCCTTATCACGTCATGCTTGGGCTACTTTAATAGAGGACTTCCAAATGGTCTCTTTCTGTGTCTCTTCTCCAATCCGTTGTACCAGGTTAATCTTCCTGAAGCACAGGATTTATAATACCACCTGATTCATAAGCCTTTCGTGGCTTCACCTTGCTAATAAACAACATCCAAACACCTTAGTGTAGCTCTTTTATTTTTATTTTTTTTGCTCTTTCTCAATCTAGCTTCCAAATCATCTCTTTTACTGTGGTTCAACGTGACGCATCTGACCTCTGCCCCGCACACCTGTCCTGCGGGTTCCTGCCTTAGCTTCTGCTTCTTCTTGGGACCGGCACAGTGCGAAATGGTGATGGTTAAGGGCAAAGACGCTGGAGTGAGATTGCGTGGATTTGAAAGCCTACTTTGCTAGTTACAGATCCTGTCACCTTGTGATCAGTTTCCTCCTCTACAAAGCAGTGGTGCTAATAGGAATGACTCAAGAGGTCGTCGTCAAGATTAAGTGGGATAATGCATGAAAATAAATACCTAGAAAAGGAACTCAGTGCTTTTTATGTTTTAGCAAATCACCATTGCTCACATTTTGGTCTCGCCATGTGCATGGTGTTGTTAGAACCACATACCCTCCCCTTGGATTAATGGCTTCCGGAAGCTTTGCGGGGTTGGGTACTGGGATCCTGGGGGTGTGTGTAGACAGACAGGGGTGGGCAGAGAGGCGAGTGGAAGCTGGCATGAGTCAGTGGGATAGAAATGAGAGACACTCGACAGAGCAAGAGGCTTGGGAGGAGTGAGTAAGCCGGAGGGAAAGATCAGAGAGGCTCTGGGAAGGCTGAGCACAGATAGGGGCTTTGTATGGGGCAGCCCTGTCTTTGCCTATTGATAGCAGGTCTTCTGATAATGGAGCTGAACCAGAGAGGCCTGTGTGATCATTTCCCATTGACTGCTGTTTAAAGTTTGTTTGTTTATTTGTTTGTTTGTTTATTTATTTATGGGGGGGGGGAGGGAGGCAGAGAATCCCAAGCACTGACAGTGCGGAGCCAGATGTGGGGCTCAGGCTCACGAAACGTGAGATCAAGACCTGAGCTGGAACCAAGAGTTGGACGCTTAACCTACTGAGCCACCCAGGTGCCCGCCATTTACTGCTCTTTAAAAAGTGATTTTAATTGCCTAAGGAAGACAAATGTTCTCTATATAACAAATAAAACATGACATATAAAGCTTGTCTCCTTTGACCCACTCTCCCCCTCCTTAAGAGGTAACTGTTGTTAGGAATACACCTCTAGATGTTATCTGTGTACATATACGTTACATAGAAAATTATATAGAATTAAAAATTTTTGTGTTTATATATATGTCATCATGCCATTCATGTCCTAGAACTTATGTTCTATTCCCCCACTCAATTATAGACCTAGGAAGAGTAATAATATATGTGTATATGTGAGTTACCTCTTCTGTATGGTCTATTATTATGTAGACCTATTATATATCTCCCATTTCTTTAAACAGCTCCACATTCTATACCGTGAGCAATGCCACAGTTTCTGTAGTCATTGCTGTACCGATGGGCATTAGAGTTGATCCATGTTCTTTCTATGTCTTAGCTCTGAAGCCAAAGCTTCCATTTTGATTCCTACTACATTCACTCATTTGTTGTATATGTAGTTTTTGAACACCTGTTAGGTGCCAGGCACTATGATAGCTGTTGGGGGCAGACTACCGCCCTGCTATCACCAACTCATCACTCTCATGGGCAACGGATTCAGGGAGCAAGCGTCCTGTCCCAGGACAGGACTAGTGGTGTTTCCCCTTCCACTGGGTGGGTTGTGAAGCCATTAAGCATAAGTGGCAAAAAATCATGTAATATCAGACTCGTTCTTGAAAATTTCTTGCATTGTTCGTAAAGTGGAATTGTTCAAGGTTTCTGTATGCGGTTCTCTATGATAAAAGATGAAGGGAGACATGGCCTTTTTATTCCAGAAGGATTTGAACCCATGATTTTCTCCTTTCCTAATATACCAGTGGCTGAAAAGAGAAGACCTGTTCTCTCAAGATGTATGGTGAGGAAGTTAGGGCTTCTGTGAGTAGATGATTTAGGAGGTCAACAATTTACACTTCGAGAGAACACCAAGATGCGGAAGTGTTAGGGCAAGGGAGAAGGATGTAATTCCCAGACTAAAGGTTCTGAGAGTTGTAAGTGGAGGGCTGGCTAAAAGAGGAAGTTGGAACAACAACAGCATAATGTCTATAAAGTCACAGCAGGTCTCGAACAGGAAGATTTGTCATTGAGTCATGTTTAAGCAGTGAGTCTCAAGGTTACTACACACGGCTGGTCTCTGTCCCTTAGCCAACTCCCATCTCCTTTTGAGTATTATGTGGTTGTTGAGTTCCATGCAGAAGGGCATGGTGTGCAAGCATCTAGGTGGGACAAAATCGATGTGATTGCCATCAGGACATGGTCAGCCAGGGAAGGCACTTATAAAATTTAAGCTTCTTTTTAAAAAAATACACTGAAAAACATGTCTCTGTAATTGGTGTTCGACATGGACTCTCGTGGTGCGGTGGTGGCCATCTGAGCCGTCAGCACCAAGATGGGGAGGAAGAAGCCAAGGGCAGGCCAAGGGCAGTAACGAGAGCGTTCTCAGGCTGGTGGCCAAAATCTGGTGCGCAGACTGAAACTGGAGTCACGGTCCCGCTGGGAGATGAGAGACTGAGTCAGTAGCAGAAAAGATGCCAAGTTGAAGAAGCCAAGTGAGGAAATAAGAGTCAGAGAGCAAATCATCAAATCATTAGCTCCAGAGTTTGGTGAGAAAGCCTGGCAAGAAGTTGGGAAAGGTGCCGGGGGGTTTGGACAAATTCGTGTGGATGAAGCTTCCCAGTGCAGTGGGGAGAGAAGAGTCAGAGATTTCAAAATAGCTTTTGGGAATCGGAAGTCTCCCTGCCCTCACTGGCCTTAAAAACATAGATCTCTGCATGAAGCAAACAAAATTACCGCTGTCTTAATTTCGCATCATGTCTCTGTAGACCTGAAGCCAGTTTGTAATTTATGTCTTCTCTTCTGAGCCTCCTACGCATAGTCCAGGATTTGGCACACTTTTCTGTAAAGGGCCAGGT